AGGGAAACGCTGCTCTCAGCACCCTTCATTTCTGAGCTGTGTGTGCCCACGGGGCCTCGCACATGTTCCCAGGTACTTTTACCATTGGGAAGCGTTTGCAGAGGCGGAATCGGCACCGACTTCACCGGGCCAGCTTCACAAGCAGGTTGCATGCTGTACATGCCTCAGCCAATTCCCCCAACCGTCTGCACATTCTCAAACGAATCCCAGGTGGGAAGCTAGAACTTAAAGCACTAAGAAATGTGCTGGTGTTATTGTAGTCCTTTTTTGGAGAAGTTTTCGCTATAGGGCGTGTGCGCTTGCCAGAAAGAGAGAGACAGAGACAGAAAGCGAGAAATCACCCCCAGGGGGATGGCCATGCCGCAGTCCCCTCTCCTCCATTCTCCTCTCAGGATCTTGGGCACGTACACACGTGCACCTGGCGTGAGTTTAATCCACCGGGTCCAGGACTCGAACTGTGGCCGGCTAACATGGGAGTCCCCGACATAGCCATTACGCCATCTGCTGGCCCCGGTGTTACTGGGGTCCTAAACTAGTTAGGAGAGCAGGGATTCACATCCAGGCCTCAGCCTGTGTCCCTAACTCCAGGCCCCTGTCTGCATCACTGTAAATTAACAGTAATGTCTGTTTATTGAGCGCTTGATCACCAAGAGCATAAATGCTTTCCTTACAAACATGATCTCCATCCTGCAGATGAAGAAACGCAGGTTTAGAAAGGTTACGCTGTCGGAACGTTACAGCAGTCAAGAGGTAACCTGGGATCCCGAGCCAGGTGTCCTGTGTCAGCCCAGTCTGCTACACCTCGTTTCTGAGCACCTCCCGGGTACAGGAAGCACTGCTGGCCACGGCCTTTAAAGTGCGGGGCCTAAATCCACTGCCTAGGTGTCGTCAGGGTCTGCACGGCAAGTGCATTTGATCTGGTAATTAGCGTAGCTTCCAGGAGAGACAGTGCAGAGACAGTCGGAGGGGAGGGGTACTTAACAAATATACGTGCCAAGTATTAAATGTATAATAAATGTTTCTGCGAATGCTTGAAGCAGTTATTTCAGGTTGAAAGAGCTTCTGTTGTCCGTAGAAGCCAGCGTTTGAGAAAGAGCAGAGTCCAAGTAAAGGGTTAGTGAAGAAACCGGTTGGATTTGGAAGTCTGGAGACAGCCTGAGGACCTTTGTAAGCCAGGCAAGGCCTTCCCCTCCCTCCTCAGCTGGGCTCGAGCAGAGACACGGAGGTTTGCCGCTCTTGGGACACCGTCCTACTCATAACCCAGAGGCGGGTTCGCGGCTCAGAGCAGGAGTCGGCCACCTCCACTTGTGCAGCCCCTGCACCGAGTGGGTCCCAGCTGAAAATGAGCTGCAGCTCTGCAGGAGAGCACGGCCGCAGTGAGCCCCTGGAGGTGTGACGTTCAGGGTCCTTAGGGCATCTCTCGGGGCCCCGTGGTGTCTGTGGTGGCTTCTGTGTCTCACAGCAACCCAGAATGGTCATGCCGAGACCACGTGGCCCACACAGGGACACGGATGATCATGGCTGAGACCCCGTGGCCCACACATCCCAAAGCAGCTCTTCTTTGGCCCTAGAGTGCCCACCGTGACCCTGGAGGGTGCGGTTAGATGCGTAGACTTTGGGCTCAGGTGGAATCAGATTTGAGCCTCACCACCACATGCCGTGACCATTTAATGAGACGTCACCTCGAAAGAGTGATTTAAGGGATTGGTGCCTTTTATCAAGGAGAGATGGGGGGGCTCAGCTGCCTTGACTGTAATAATAGAAAACACAGGAACGGAACGAGGTGGGACTGCATCCCGGTCACCGTAGGCACCATTTCTCAGCAGTTCTTCATGTACCACGTATGCAAGACTGTTCATGAGATGTTTACTACGGGGCCAGCAGGCGGTGTGGTAGTTAAAGATGCCGGATTCCCACATGGCTGACCGTGGTTCAAGACCCAAAGCTGGCAGCTTGCTTTTTTGCTTTCCTTCTGTCTGTCTCAATGGTCAAATTTAAAATTAATAATAATAAGTGGAATGAAATAAATAATTATTTAAAAATATATATATTTAGTATAGTACATAAGGCTGTTTATGTTACCAGTGATGTGTCTATAAGGGAAATGAGCACAGAATTTATTGGTTACTTTTCATCCCTTCTTAAAACTAACACTGTGTTTGCTAAAATAGCCCTTAGGCCAGAAAGGCCTACGGTGGTTTGGTTTCTCTCTTAAAGACACACAGTCCTGAGTGTGGTCCTAGCGTCTGGGTCCCAGTCTCAGGCACTTCGGGAAATGGGGTCTGCACCCCGCGGCGTGCTCGATGTGCCGTCAGTCCAGAAGCAGTGCCTGCCCTGCTAGCCTGTGAGTGTCGGGAGCCTTGGAGGGGCTCTTGCAGATCAGTGCAAATGGGGTAACAGACATTTGTTGTTCACTGTGTTTTCTTCCGTGAGGGAGAACATGGGTCAGAGAGAGAAGCACGGAACGGGGGTGGGGGGTCGCCATGCCACCATGCCACATCCACCCCAGCCTTGCAGCCTGGTGCATGCATGTCCACCTCGCAGAGAGCTCTCAGGGTGCGCCCACAGCCTGCCCTTGGGTCCGGGGTCGCGGGTCGCATCACCACTGCTCCACCTGCTGGCCAAATGTAGGAACTCTCAGTCTTTGTCTCCTTATGGAGAGCCTGCCTGCCTCGTCCGTACCAAGTAACTCGTTGATTGATGTGTGCATGTATGGAGAGGCCTACATAGTACCACTCGGCTTGTCAGGGTGTCGTAGAAGAGCTCAGAGACATAATGGCCCCTTAATTACCCACGATTGGATTATCCTATTAAAAAACTAAAACAAATAAAAACAGAGTTTCACTTTTAACAAGCAAACCCTCACCAAGAAAGTCTTAAGTGTTAATTGAGGTAGAACTGACCTGTTCATGCTGGAAAACATGGCAAAGAGGGTTTTTTTTTTTTAGAGAATTATTTAATTTAATTAATTTATTTATTTTTAATTAGACCAGAGAGAGATACAGAGAGGGTAAGTGAGAAAGCAAGCCACCGGGTCCGGGACTCGAACTGTGGTCGGCCATGTGGGAATGTCCAGCACCTTAACTGTCACACCACCTACTGGTCTGAGGGGTTTATTATTTCAAGTATGCAGCTTCCGAAATCAGCTGGTCCTCATCTGGCACACATGAGCACACTGTCCCGGGTCTTGGAGTTGCTGTTACGTAGTTGAACGCCTCTGTCATGCTTAGCACTTGTTTTCTGAAATGAACTTTAACACTAAAAAAAAATGCCATTTCTCACTGAGACACATGGGGGTTACAACTTTTTACAGGGTTACAGGAATGGAGAAATTTTCCAACTTTCATAGCTGACACATGTTGAGTTCATATCTCCTCCTTTTATTTTCATTATCTAATTTGTTTGTTTATTAATTATTGTTATTATTTAATTCACCAGAGAGAGGGAAAGTGAGACAGCAAGCCACCAGATCCAGGACTCGAACTGTGATCAGCCACATGGGAGTCCAGCGCCTCAGCCACCACGCCACCTGCTAGCCTCGCTCCCCTCCTTCCTCAGCTCCAGATGTCACTGCAGGCAACAGATGGTCATGTGAGAGCCAGAAAGGTTGGCAGAGACTCGAGCCTCCTTCCACACGAAGGCTCCTACCTCTAGGTGTCCCATAGGCCAGAACAGCTGAGCGGGTTAACTTCTTGACCCGGGTGTCCCACTCCCTGGGGCGGGCAAAGGAGGGACTCCTAGCCTGAAGGGACGTTTCGGCAGCCTAGAGCTGTTTGCTGTGGGAGTGAGGCTGTCTCCAGCCGTGAAGTGGGGACCGAGGAGAGCCCAGAAGGTGGGTGGAGAAGTCGGTGACTGCTGTGTGCTTGCCGTGTCTAGAGTGACTGAGCTGTAAGCTCTAGATGTTGTGAGCGCTCAGACACAAGTCCAGAAGAAATCATCTTTCTATCATTTACTGTTTTGAATGATTTGGCCAGTAGTGGGGTTCAGGAGAATTTCATTGTTTGTTGTTTGTTTTTCTTTTTCTTTTTTTTTTTTTTTTTTGAGAGGTTTTTGCCATAGGGCGCGTGCGCTCACCAAACAGACAGGGAGAGACAGAGAGACAAAAAGCGAGAAATCACCCCCCCCAGGGGGATGGTCACGCTGCAATCCCTTCTCCTCTATTCTCCTCTCAGGATCTTGGGCACACACGCACACGCACCCAGTGTGAGTTTAAGCCACCAGGTCCGGGACTCGAACCCTGGTTGACTACATGGGAGTCCAGCGACATAGCCATTACGCCAACTGCTGGTCCCAGTTTGTTTTTGATGCTGCCATTCCCAGGGTATGTCCTAAGTGGCCCCAGCCATGGTTTGTGGAAGGCTCCCAGTTCATGCCTGGAGACCTCCAGGTACCCTGAGCACACGCTTGTTTCCTGTGACCCAGGGCTGACTGCGGGCTGGGAGTGGGTCATAGTGCTGACGGGGCGTGTCTCCCTTCTCTGACTCAAGGAAGAAATGGGTGAATAAACTTCAATAAAGATGTGCCCATCTCTGCTCGTGTTTGAAAGGAAGACTCCTCGAGAAACCTCTACTACTAATTAGGAGACATACTGTGTTAGTGATAAAGGGTTTGCTGTTTACAAAGCTAAGATGCTATTCTTAGAAACGAGAATAGATGTCTTAAATATCTCTGTTAGGAGTGAATGATATTCATAAATACTTCATAGAACTAACATGCATACTTTAGTTCCAGAGAGTGCTTTTCTTTCTTTTTTTTTTTTTCCAGAGATTTTCGCTGTAGGGCGCGTGCGCTTGCCAGACAGACAGAGAGAGACACAGAGACAGATAGCGAGAAATCACCCCCCAGGGGGGATGGTCACGCCGCAATCTCTTCTCCATCCTCCTCTCGGGATCTTGGGCACGCACACACACGCACCCGGCGTGAGTTCTAAGCCACCAGGTCCGGGACGCGAACCGCGGTCGACTATGTGGGAGCCCAGCAACATAGCCATTACGCTAACTGCTGGTTCCCGAGAGTGCTTTTCTTAGAAGGAAACTGCTTTTCTTTCCCCCAGGAGAGTTCCCGGGCATCTCCACTCCTTTCTGAACAGTCACACGTGCAAACAGCCCCTCGGGAGTCAAGCTAAACTCGAAGCCTCACTGGGAGACGTGGGGCAGTGCAGCATGGAGTGTGAGGTTGAGGGGAGGGGGAAGTACCAGCACAGCCTGAGTCTACTGAGCAGGGTCAGGAGCATGAAGGAGCGGGCAGAGATGGTCGACGTGGTGCTCGTGACAGAGGGGGAGAGGTTCCCCTGCCACAGGCTGGTCCTGGCTGCTTTCAGCCCTTACTTCAGAGCCATGTTCACCTGCGGGCTCCTGGAGTGTGCGCAGCAGGAGGTCGTGCTCCACGCGGCTGTAGTGTAAAGCCACCAGGTCCGGGACGCAAACCGCGGTCGACTATGTGGGAGCCCAGCAACATAGCCATTACGCTAACTGCTGGTTCCCGAGAGTGCTTTTCTTAGAAGGAAACTGCTTTTCTTTCCCCCAGGAGAGTTCCCGGGCATCTCCACTCCTTTCTGAACAGTCACACGTGCAAACAGCCCCTCGGGAGTCAAGCTAAACTCGAAGCCTCACTGGGAGACGTGGGGCAGTGCAGCATGGAGTGTGAGGTTGAGGGGAGGGGGAAGTACCAGCACAGCCTGAGTCTACTGAGCAGGGTCAGGAGCATGAAGGAGCGGGCAGAGATGGTCGACGTGGTGCTCGTGACAGAGGGGGAGAGGTTCCCCTGCCACAGGCTGGTCCTGGCTGCTTTCAGCCCTTACTTCAGAGCCATGTTCACCTGCGGGCTCCTGGAGTGTGCGCAGCAGGAGGTCGTGCTCCACGACATCGCAGCAGGCAGCGTGGCGGTGATCCTGGACTACATGTACAGCGCGGCCTTGGAGGTCGACAGTGCCAACGTGCAGGCCGTGGCCATGGCCGCCTACTTCATGCAGATGGAGGACGTCTTCGCTCGGTGCCAGACATACATGACGGGTCACATGGATGCCTCCAACTGTGTCGGCGTCTATCACTTCGCAAAGCAGATTGGAGCCGAAGACTTAGCTGATCAGTCAGAGAGGTATTTATATCGGCACTTTGCTGAGGTGAGCTTACATGAAGAAATACTAGAGGTTGAAGAGCACCAGCTTCTGACGCTTATTAAATCTGACGACCTTAACATATCCAGGGAGGAGAGCATCCTAGACTTGGTGCTGCGGTGGGTGAATCGTGACCCAGCCGCGCGCACGGTGCATCTGGTCAAGCTTCTGAAGCAGGTCAGACTGGAACTTATAAACCCTGCTTATCTAAGACAAGCCCTAAGAAGGAACACCATGCTTCTGTGTGACGCAGACTGCATTGACTTGATCCAGAACGCGTTCAGGGCCATCAAGACACCCCAGCAGCACTGCCCCCATCTCCGCTATGGCATGGAGACCACCAGTCTTCTGCTTTGCATCGGCAACAATTCCGCCGGAATCCGGTCACGGCGTCAGAACTACGGGGATGCCAGTTTTTGCTATGACCCCGCCTCACGGAAGACCTATTTCATCTCGTCTCCCAAGTATGGAGAGGGTTTGGGAAGCGTGTGTGCTGGCGTCGTCATGGAAGACAACACCATAATTGTGGCTGGAGAAGCAAGTGCCTCCAAACTCTCCAGACAGAGGAACAAGGATCTTGAGATCTACAGGTGTGTGCCTCTTAGCATCCGGCTCGTCGCTCTGCCTTGCCCTCGGCAGCTGTGCGAGAGAGTGCTGCTGAGAACGCTGGTCATGCCTGAGGTCACAGGGACTCAGCTACCCCGTGGGTCTCCCCTAAGAGTATGCAGAGCACGGCTGTGCATGTGAAAAGCGGGGGTGTAGCTGCAGCACACGTGTAATGTTCATTACGAAATAGCCCGCACTTTGTACAGAGTTCTCCCTTAGCTGATAGGACCACAGACTGGAATTCGCAGATGGTGAATGTATCTAATGTTATAATCCTGTTCACTCATCTTCCATCATTTAGCCGTATGATAGGGCATAATACGTTGTTTTGTTCTTTAAAAAAAAAAAAATTTATCTATTTCTTTGTTGTGATTTTGGGGCCACCGGGTCCAGAATTTGAACCATGGTCAGCTATGTGGGAGTCCAGCACCTCAACCACCACACCACCTGCCAAACTGACATTGTTTTGTTCTTAAGGAACTTTGAACAAGAAGAACAGTTTATTAGCTCAGATGCCTTTGAACTGATATTTTTAGTCCATAAATCGGAGTAATACGTGATTTTTTTCTCAACCAAAAACTCGCTCATTGTCAGTTTTCATCCTTGGTCCTCACCCGTGGGCCTCCCTAGACCTGAGGTGTGGCACTGGGTCCTCACCGTGGGCCTCCCCTGACCTGCAGTGTGGTGCTCGGTCCTCACCGTGGGCCTCCCCTGACCTGCGGTGTGGTGCTGGGTCCTCACCGTGGGCCTCCCCTGACCTGCAGTGCAGCGAAGCATTTGCAGTCTAAGGACGCCTCAGGCCAAGAGTTGGGACCAGAGGCTCGAGAGGCCTGTGCAGCGCAGATGGGCAGGGCCTTTGTGGAGCACACCCATCCCCACTGCTAACTGAGTACACATGAGCGAGTATTTAGTAAACAGGAGACACGTAAACGAGTAGCGGATGGTAACACTCTCCTGCAGCACCCCTCCCTCAATCCCCTCTTCTCAGCCAGGAAGTCACCCTTCGCTACATGGTGGAGGAGAGAGGCAGCTCAGGGCTGTGTTGTGTCATGCCCTGTCACATGGCTAGATAGCAACCGGAGAGCGGGCGGGATGATCACATAGGTACATGGAGCGTGTGCACACTCGACTTGAAGGCCTTCATGACAGGAGGACTGCTGGACTCCCGTGTAGTTGATGCGATGTAAGTCCTGGACCCAGCAGCTTAAAACTCTGAGCACGGGTGCGCGTGCCCAAAATCCCGAGAGGAGAATGGAGGAGAAGGGATTGCGGTGTGGCCATCCCCCTGGAGGGTGAGTTCACTCTTTCTGTCTCAGTCTCTCCAGTGACTGCATGTGCCCTATACCAAAATCTCTTTTTAAAAAGAAAGGGGAGTGGGACCAGCAGTTGGAGTAATGGCTACGTTGCTGGACTCCCATGTAGTAGACCATGGTTTAAGTCCTGGACCCGGTGGCTTAAACTTACCGTGGGTGCGTGTGTGTGCGTGCCCAGTATCCCGAGAGGAGAATGGAGAAGGGATTGCAGCGGGGCCATCCCCCCTGAGGGGTGATTTCTCACTTTCTGTCTCTGTCTCTGTCTCTCTTTCTGGTGAGCACACGCGCCCTCTAGCGAAAACCTCCCAAAGAAGGGGTGGGAGCATGGGGAGAACTCGGCGGCCAGCCACGCCCGGATCCCTCAGCACCACGCGGTCTGTCCCAGGCTGTAGCCCTGTCCCTTTCACGTTCACTCCTCGAGCCGTCCGATTCCCCGGATCGTGACGGGGAGGCATGCAGAGCCCGGCCTGTGTGTGTGTGGCCGAGGAGCAGCTGTGTACAGCCGAGCCCGCGGAGCCAGGATGGCGTGTGGGGGGCTGTGGCTTCCGCGGCGTGGCTCTTACATGTCTGTGCCGCTCGGCTCCCACCTGCTCTTGGCTAGCTGCTCTGTCCGTCGCCTCCCCGTGGGCGTGTGCAGTCCTGCCATCGGCACTGACCTTCCAGGCGACCAGCCCTGACAGGGTGGCCTTCCGACTGCATCCTCAAGTGTCTTTCCTCCTGACTTTTCCTGTCTTTTTTCTTTCATTTGCTTTTCAAGACAGGGTCTCATTGGTCAGTCATCCTGCCTCGGCCTCCCAAGTGGCAGGGACTGCAGGTGAGCAGTGTTACCCGCCTTCTGTGGGGGCCCCGTGTGGCCTCGGCCGGCCGAGGAGCAGTGTCAGTGGCACCGGCCCCGCGGCTGGGCCTTCGGAGCCCGCGCACCCTTCCCATCGCTCCGCCTGGGTCTCGCCGTGCGCCCCGGTCGGCCAGGCGAGTGTCACCACCCGCTCCTGCAGGGTCGCAGTCCCGTCTCGTCACGAGTTCGTTGGCAAGGCAGGTGACGAAGCTTCCAGAGCACTGTTTGGGGCTCACACAGACTCCCGGCAGACGCCTGGCGGCTGAAGCTAGCATGGCAGAGGGCGCGTTCGTGCCAGCGGCCGTCGCCCCTCGCTCCCGCGGCTGCCCTGCCCTCTGCCCAGTGCCCCTCGGTCACTCCTCTGCGGTCAGCATTTCCGTGAAGATGTGCTCTTCTCGACTCAGAAGAGACAGACCCTGGTGGGCGTTTCCCGAGAGGTGCGCCCTCCCTGTCCTTGACTGAGCCCCGCACAGACGCCCAGGGTGCGTGCCGTCTCCGGGCAGCCGGCGGTTTTCTGGGGCATTCGGCTTCGTGTGTGTCCCGTTTGTCCTGTCAGACAGTGTGTCCCAACCACGGTTGGAGCGTGGAGCTGCCCGTCATTGTGAGGCAGGGCAGAGAACGCCACACATGCACATGCCCTCCCCACACGCACAGACACGCATACGTGATGCTCACAGGCACATGCGCGGCGATCAGCCAGGGGCTGGCCTGCAGCGGCACCGTGAGGCCATGCACAAGTGCCCCACCTCCTGGGTCCGTCGTCTCTGTGTCTCTGTGGACCAGGAGGAGCGGCTGACGGCCCAGCAGGCCTGGAGGCAGGTTTCTATGCTGAGTTCTTACCCCAGGCTCAGCTGGTTGAAACGCGTGGACACCCGAAGCCTGCATGCCCTGCAGCACTGCCTCAGAGAGCCCTGAGCCGAGCTGTTTGCAGACCTCTAAAGCTGGTCTCGTCCCATGGAATATGAAGAAGTGTCCCCTGCCCACAGAGTAAGGCGTTTTATATTGTCTGTTTTCACTTGTTTTACGGTAAAATTACAAATGATTACGTGAAATACTTTCCTAGTCTCGGTTTTCTTTCCCAGAACTGGGGGGGGGGGGGGGGGGCAGGTACGCCCA